CAGAGGCCTGCAGGTAAGGCCCTACAAGGAGAGACTGAGGGACCTGGATCTCTTCAGCCTTTGCAAAACAAGGCTGAGGGGTGATTTTGTGGCTGCCTGTACTTTCATCAGGGGAGGGCAGCAAAGCATAGGAGATGCTCTATTTACTACGGCACCGCCTGAAGTAACTCGGAACAATGGCCACACATTAACGGAGAGCAGATTCAGGTTGGACATTCGAAAGAACTTCTTCACAGGAAGGGTTGCCAGAATCTGGAATGGGTTTCTAAGGGAGGTGGTGCTCTCCCCTGCCCTGGGGGTCTTCAAGAGGAGACTGGACAAGCACTTGGCTGGGGTCGTCTGACCCCAGCACTCTTTCCTGCCCAGGGCAGGGGGTCGGACTTGATGATCTATTGAGGTCCCTTCTGATCCTAACATCTATGAATCTGAGTCACCCTGCCACCACGTGTGGTCGGTCAGTAGGGGATGCTCCTGTGTTGAGCCCCCACCTCACTGTGCCCGACCACCATCCATGCTCCGACTGCCTACCTGTGGGTGCCTCGCAACTGGCCAACCCCCTTCCTGGAGTGCACTCAGGTGTGACAGGGAGCCGTCCTGAGGCTAACCTCTGCGTAGGCCTACTCAGCTGTCTTAGCCAGTCCACCCCCTATCTCTCCTGCCACACCTTGTTAGTAAATAATTTAGTTGTTTATTACCCGGAGGCTGCCCTTCATGTGCCCACCTACACTGGGCTGTACATACATGCTACAACCTACCCTTCGCATGTCCCAGGCCTTGCAGCTGTTACTATTGTTGTCAACTCTGTACGCCCCTGGCATTGAAGCCTGTGGCTCCCATCTCTCTGCCACATGCAGCCTTTGGGTTCTCTGGTGACTGGCTTTCTGTGCCTTTTTTCGGATGCCTGCCTCAGTGTATCTCTCCTGGGCACCTGGTTCTGCTCCCCCTTAGCTGTGTTCCTCTGGAGCTCTGGGTTCAGTGCACCCCATTGGCTTCATCCCTCTGGTGCTCTGGGCTCACTGCGCCTGACACTGGGCTCTACCAACTCTTATGCCCTCTCTCTCCATGCACTAATTAGTCCTCCAAACTTCCCCTTCTAGGTTCATCCCAATCCTCCTGGCGAAACAAGAACACAAACACAAGCCCCTAGGCTATAACTAAAATACTAGCTATAACAGCAGTGCTATGCCTCTTTAAGGGGACAAACCTGTAGTCAGAGTAGCATGCCCCTATTCTAGGTACCTGGGGGACTCCCTGTAGGCAGGTAGAACCTAGATAGCAGAGCAGGCAGTAGCAAGGAGAGCTAGGCAGGCAGCACCAGGTCTCAAGTATCTTCAGAGGCAGGAGCTCCTTCCCTGCCAGTTCCCAGAGACAGAGTATGTCTGCTAGCTACAGCCTGGGCTTCTATATGCCAGACCCCTGCCTCCTGCTGGTCAGGTGATGTCAGCAGGTGTAGCCCATGGCTCCCTTAGGCTGTTACACTAGCAACCTACAGCTGGGGAGCTCTACTTAGCCTGCTGAGCTCCCTGGCCAGGCTTCTTCAGCCTGAAGGAGCAGGAGCATCTTAGTGCCCTGCTACACACACACCCCCTAACTCACCCCCATGGTTCCTTGCTCCTGGGCTTCTCTCAGCTTCAATGATAAACCACAAGTCGTGGGTGAGGAGGTTTTAAGGTGCCTCCTGCTCGCCTTTTCCCCAAGAAGGTACCACATGGCATTTACTAGGAGCTACCCTGCCACAGGTAGTCTCTGCCCATATTAACGAGCCTCAGTAAAATGCCTATTTAAGCTTTGCCCAGGATCAGTCAAGGTTTCTTCCATCTTGTTACTTCTTGTCTTAGGTCTGGTGTTCAGGGAATCCTCTTCCGCCTGGATCCACCAAACCCCTTCATCTGGCATTGTGAGCTTCCTCTGCCCTCTGTTCTGGCTCTACCAAATGGTCTGGCACACTAGTGCCTTCACTTCTCATGGGTTTCATGGGGTTGCCACTTCCCTAGACTTCCCTTCATGTCCAGGCAGCTTCCCCACAGTGTCCATCGACTTTTCCGGGCTTCTTGGGCATAGTCTTGGATCACAAACTCAACTTAGCCATGGCCCATAGGTCTTCCTCCAAATCCCATATATACTTTCACATAAGTCACTCCCTACACCTCATCTTCAAACAGTCTTCTAACCGTCCACCACTTAGCGGAACAAGGGAGGTTGCTCATGTAGATCTGAGACCTCTTTCTGGGTCTTTATCCTATCTCTCACTTCTTGTCTTTTGGCAGCCAGGGATATTGTCCTTTCTCATCTGGGATCCTCATTCTCCACTTCTGGGTTATCTGCTCCTTCTCTGGGGCCTCTCTTCTTGGTTATGCTTTGGCAATGTCACCCCAGGTTGCCTTCAACAGGCTGCCCCTGCCTTTTCTCCCCATGAACACCTCCAACTCTTCACCTTGTTTCTGTAACTCCTGTTGAGGTTGTGTTCTCCTTTCATCTGTGGTGGTGAGTGGCTTTTCCCCAGGGCTCCTCTTCTGATTGGGTTTAACTTTCTCTGGCATTTCACCTACAGTCAAATTCACCATACTTCTCCTTGGCCCTCCACCTTGGGCTCATTTTCCTGTTGTTGGTTTGGGCCTCGGTCCACTCGATACTGTGTCTGGGTTTGGCCTGCCACCCCTCATTAGTGTCTGGCATTCCCCCCTTGGGTACAGTCTGTTTTAGCCACATTATTCCTTCTATAGGTTATCTTATCTTATTCAGTTCTCCCTTCTTATTTATCACCTTTCCCAACTTCCCAGCGCTGGGTGCGGGCTGTGCCCAGCACCAGTCCCAGGGGGCAGCAGCAACTGGCAGGCATATTGGGGGCCCACCCACACCCCCAGGAGGGGTCTGGCAGAGCCCTGCAGCCCTCCTGGGAGTGCAGGCCCCGAGTCTGCCTACCAGATCACAGGAGGCTGCTGCTGCCACCTGGGCCCGGTGCTGGGCGCAGCCCAAACCCAGCACCAGGAAGATGTGTGCTGCCGCCCATTCCAGGTGGTAGAAGCATCCTCCTGTGATCCAGCAGGAAGATCGGGAGCCCCTCCCCCCAACCCCTGGGAGGAATCAGCAGAGCCCCACACCCCTCCTGGGGGGTCAGGGGGCCTCCCAATCTGCATCCCAGATCACAGGAAACTGCTCTTGCAGACTGGGTTGGGCACAGCGAGGTGGGTGGCTCAACATTGGAGCACCCCCTCCTGGCCCACCACATGTGGTGGCTGAGTGATCCATAGATGCTAGGGTTGGAAGGGACCTCAATAGATTGAGTCCGACCCCCTGCCTGGGCAGGAAAGAGGGCTGGGGTCAGGCGACCCCAGCCAAGTGCTTGTCCAGTCTCCTCTTGAAGACCCCCAGGGTAAGGGAGAGCACCACCTTCCTTGGAAGCCCACAAATATGATCTTTAATATTTTTTCAAAAGTTTTCCCAAGGATAGAGGTGGCACTAACTGGCCTGTAGTTACCCGGATCCTTTGTCCTCCCCTTCTTGAAAATAGGGACTACATTGGACCTTTTCCAGCCCTCTGGGACCCAACCAGAGCACCATGAGTGCTCAAACAGCCATGCCAGTGTTTCTGCTATGACACCAGCCAATTCCTTCAGCACCCTTGGATGAAGATTATCCGGGCCCATTGATTTGAACACATCCAGCCCTCCAAGTGCCCCTTCACTAAGTCTGCTCTAATAACCATTGGGCCGGTGTCCCTCCTGTGTCTATGGTCCAATTGGCAGATTTGTCTTGGTCTGCGTCTAGGAATGCAGATGCAAAGAACTCATTGAAGAGCTCAGCTTTGTCCCCCCCCTCTGTCACCAATGCCCTAGTTTGTCCTGTAAGTGTCCTTTGCTACCCTGTGCCTTCCCTTTGCTCCCTATATACCTGAAGAAAGACTTTTTGTTGTCCTTAATTTTTGTCCCCAGCCTAAATTCTCATTCTGCTTTGTCCTTCCTAACTAATTCACTGCAAGTGAGAGCCAAAGAGAGAAATTCCTCCTTGATAGCTAGAAGGCGTCCAAAGTGGGTGCTTGAATCACATCCAGTGGCAGGTTATTCCAGACCTTGGGGATCTGGACAGGAAAGAAGTTCTTCCTTATGTCCAGCAACTTCCTTATGTGCCAGGACTGACTGCACGGTATGGCTAAGAGGTTGGATTATGGGTTGTACAGGATGGCTTGGATAAAGATGATCATGCTTCAGGCAGGAAGTTAGACTAGATGAGACCTCTAGAGACCCCTCCCAGCCCCACTTTTCCATCACTGTATGACTCTATGGCTCCACCTCACTTTAGGTTAGAGCCCCTGCAGGTCCACTGCAGACAGCGGGAATGTGGGGGTGGGTGCCTAGACCAGGAGGTGCTATTTGAATATGCAGAGCCATTGCTCCAAGTTTTAATTGGGGTTGAGAGTGAGACTGGTGACCATGGAGGCTATTCCAGTCCCAGCTCACATACACAACAGCTAAGATTTATTAGTTGTAATAAAGACGGCACTGATACAGTCTTGGGTTCAAGGGAAAATGGTGCCAGTGGCCAGGCTTCTCTGTTCCCTTGGGGACTCTTGGTGATTTGGATCCTCTTTTTTGCTAAGCTTTGGAGGAGTCTAATGTCATACAATTTAACCACGATTATAGACTTAACACAGGGTTATTCATATTTGGTTATGGTTTGGAGCTATACCAATCCTTTTCTGTTTCCTTGTATTATGTTAGTGCACTGTATCACTGTCTCTGGCACGTGCTCAGCTGACATCAGTGCTACCTAGGTCAAGCTCAAGTCATGTCATCACATGGCCTATGTTACCTGTGGCTCCAGCTCCACATGACCCACAATGCACGTATGGCCTACACAGCTGGTCATTAGACATCTCTTTTTTGTGGAGAACTTGACACAGATGTGACTGAGAGATCTGCAACAGCAATATTGTGGTTCACCAGACCACAGGCAGTTACATCGCGGTATGAATCAGAAGGCTCAGCAGGATTTCACAGCTTCACAGTCTTTTAATGGGGTTATCAAATTACATATGGGATTATAACAAGTGATTAATTTAGCTTCCGCATGGCCTTGCTTTTGCCTTGTAGGGCAGGTCCCACCTAAAGCATGCAAGCTTCTCATTGTGGTGACATTAAGAGCAGCCCACCATCAAAGCTGGTGCAAGCAGGGATCAGTCACACTCCCCCCACATCCCCGTGGAGCGCTGAGGTGACAGCAGAGGAGGCGCGTGCCTCATGAATGCTCTCAGCAGGACTTGCTTTAAGCGGAAAAAGGGAAGGGTCTGAACACTTAGGAAGCAGCAAACAGCTTGAGAGCAGCAGCGTTGAGCAGGAGAATGGATACTCCAAACAGCGAGGGGCACATCTGGAGGTGGAAGGTGATGCCTTGGCTCACTGTGGACCAGAGAGAAGTGTGTCGGGTAGTTTTTGGAAATCATTTCATACTGACAACTGTCCCTGTCAGTGAGCAAACAAATCCATCCCAGATCCCAAGGGACATGTTTCTGTCTGAAAGGGAACTGAAATCCAGGAGACACCAACTTGGGTTTGATCAGGGTCACTCACTGCTTGGTGCCAGCATTTCACTTGTGTCTGTCCTTCCCCAGGCTGCTTGTCCCTCTGGCCATCCCATTAATAATGTATGTAGGGCTCCCTTTAGCATCCATCCCTGACTAGCATCCATCTCAAATGTCTACAGCGGGTAACTCCTAACTCCACCCTGTACTTTGCTGGGGTAAAGTGGCGAATAACACAAGAATCCCTGGCTCCCTCAACACAACCATCATATAACCCCACTTGTTTTGCTGCGCATGATGGCTTTGCCTGGTCGGGGTGGTCTCAGCCTTGTGTAAGAGGGAAAGCCTTTTTTGTATCAAGACAAAAAAAAGTCATTCCTACCAGTGTTGGTTTCACAGTTCTTTTTCCTCTCATCTGAAAAGGAAGCAGAGGATGTCAATGAATAGTAGTCGCCCAGCCAGGGTTGTCAACATCAGTCTGGTCACTCCATTTAGGGTTACATCTAAACCAACCTCCTGTCCATGGCTGGCATCTTTTTCTCTTGCTCCCAGTGGGCCATTTTGGAAGAACCTGCCTAGAGGGACTTTCTTGTCCCCCTCTAAATTTATCTGTGCCAGGACATGAGCGGCCAGGTCTGGGGGCCAATTGGGGATCATGGTCACTGGATCTGGGTGATAAAAACCAGAGTTAGAAAGGCCAAGCAGAGTCCAGGGACGAGGTGGATCAGGAGCTGGGATCAGAAGGGGTCAGGACCATGTTACTGTAGAGCCCTTAACAGGCCAAGAAGATTTTCATGGTTGATTTAGTGTTCTGCAACTATCACCTCAGGTTGAGGTCCAAGTGCCTCTTCCCCACTGAAGCTCTTGGGACAAGGGGCTCCCATTACTTTGAGGGAGAAGCAGCCACAGAGAGATCCCCAAATGCAGGGTTGGCTCATTATGGGCTGACTGCAGGGAAACAAGACCCACAGGCTGCAAACACCTGGGGCTGGGCTAGGTGCAAAGGACAGGTTGGTGGGGCAGAGCCTGGCCCGAGCAGCAAAAGCACTGCTGTAGCAGCTAGAGTAGTGGCTGAATGCAGTTCATTATAACTTGCAGGAAACAGCTGTGCTGGGCTAGAGTCACTGGACCCAAGAGGGGCTGAGCTTTATGGAGTTCACAAGCCAGCACTTGGAGACAGGGAGGAGGAGAGCCAGTGCTCTGCAGGGGAGAGCACTCAGCCAGGAGGAGCTGCCTAGAGACACTGGCAAACACTGAACACCCTGGAGAAAGGGAGGTGAGAGCCACAGGTGCATGGATGAACATAGAGCTGGTTAATCCTGAGTGGGTCGTGGGGGAAGGTTTGGTGAAGCAGTTGCTTGTTGTGGTTTGTTTGCTCCAGTTTACCCAGGAGGAGCAAATATGGCTAGCGGGGAAGGTCTGGAGGCCACGGAGGATGCCAGTGGGCACATGAGCCTCGGAGCTCTTCCAGGCACCAGGGCACCAGGCACAGGGGTGATGGAGGGGCACAAGGAGTACTGAGCCCTGCCAGGGGCTTGGCTCTAGATAAAGGCAGACTGAGACCGAGAAAGCCAAAGCCTGAGTGAGAAAAGCAACAGGGGTGGCCTGAAGCAAGGAGGGCTGAGGCCAAAAGCCTGGGAAGGGCAGAAACCAGGTTGAGGGATAGTGTCCAGGGCCAGGGGCTCAGAGCACAAGCTGTCAAGACAGGGGCTGGAGCCCATAACCCAAGGCCTGGTGCAGTGGGCTTAGGATAGCAGGCCCAGCTAGAGAGAAGGTGGTGAGTGCCAGTGTAAAGGAGGCCCTGAGAAGGGTGTGAAGGCTTGAGGAGGCCTGACATGGAACTGGGGGCAAGGTGCCCCCACATAAGTGATAACCTGTAACATCTGTGAGGCATGGACATGGCTTTAGGGGCAGATTTAACCCTTAAGACAACTGGTGCCCTAGAGCGTGGATGGGCTGGACAGTTCCCAGCAAATGCCTGCGGAGGAAGATAGGAGTTTGTGGGGCCTGGGAGACACCCACTAACAGATAACAAGGCAAGGTCTTTCTCGGAGACCCTGGGGCAGCTTCCCCTTTCATAACCAAATAACCCCAATGAAGGCATGGCAGGAAAGAGCAAAGGGTGGGTACTGAAGGAACCTGAGTGGGGCAGGAACAGCATGGCCATCAGGAGGCATCAAGCCCACCTCTGGGTTGGATCCTGTCACAGGGCCCCTTGGCAGCAGGAGTGTCAGGTTGTCTCTGCCCATCCTCGTGACAGGCCCCATGTCATAGTCCCCATTGACCCCCTGCACACGCTCAGCCCAGTACTCACTCCCCAGACAGGCGCAGTTAAAATGGCTGCAGGTCTGGTTGGTGCTTCGGAGGACAAGGCTGTTGGACCCATTATGTCCTGGGAACACCTGGAATTTCTCATGGATGGGGATTAGTACTTCTTCTTGCTCCTTAGAATAGGAGTATTGCATGATATCAACTCCAAAGCAAGTGTGGATGGTGAGCAAGCATCCAGTGACGTTCCTAAAATGCTCAGCTACGTCTTTGTTAAAAGATGAAGAGCCAAAATATCCAAACCTCATGATTTCAAATTGTTTCTTCTCATATCTAACGCCACTGATTCCCCTGTACACTGGTGTTTTGTACGTCACATTGCAGCTCTTTCTTAGGAGCTGTAAAGCTCTTGTCAGGTAGTAATGAAAAGCTTTGAAATGGAAATTGCTGTTGTAGGTAGCTAGAGAGGTAGCAGACTCCCGTACTGCCTTATTCAGATCTCCACTAAATGCACTACTAGTATAGACTATAATTGCTCTTCCATATTCATCCTTAAAGTCCCTTGGGAGATTCTTGTCAAGAGATTTCTTCTTGCTGTTCCATATTTCTTTTGATTTGTTCCACTCCTCTCTCAAGTTTCTGTTCTTCTTCATCTCTTCCTCCATCAATCTGGGGGCATCTTTTTCCATTTTTTCAGTACAGCCAATGTACTGGTCATCAAAAGCACCAGGCATCAGGCTCATCTCTGAAGCTGGGGGAATGAAGCCAAGACAGATTCATGATGAAGTGTTTTGCTCTAGCACTCTGTGGGCCCCACCAGGGTTACTGCTTCACACCCAGGGCCCGCACGTGGGAAAAGACAGCTCCTGCCTTGAAGGGAAAGCATAGGCTAAATATGCAGGACAAGAAAAGGGTGAGTGAGAGGGCAGGAACCCACTGTTACTGGCCTGACCCTGTCTGACCTCAGCACTTGCCCAACTTTGGGAGGTCTCATAAGGCATTGCCATTAGGCGAACAGTGTGATGTCAGAGGCAAGGCTGTGTGATGCAATTCTGTTCAGTTGCCAGGTCACTTAGGGTCTAAACCAGGGAGGGCAATTATTTGGGCCTGAGGGCATTTAGGAAGTTTTGGTGAGATGTTGCGGACAGGGTCAGCACCTGCGCCACTCCCCCACACACAACCCCAGCCCAGCCGGGCCGGCAGCTCTATGCTCTGCAATAACTCACCATAACTCCCTAAGTGGCTTTGCTCCACGCTGGGCTGGGTGGCTCGGATGGACTCATGGGAACCACCAAGTGACATCTGGGAGTGCAATGGATGGGCAGGTGAAGCCAAGATACCAGGGCCATGCTAGTGCGGGGCCAGAGCCTGGAGCAGAGCCAGAATCTGCTCCACACACACCCCTACAATGGATGCCAGTTCCATGGGCAGGGGCAGGTGGGACTGCCCAGGGTCATGGATCTGCCCTGGGCCCTGGTCCCATGCTGTCACTGCCCAGTGATCCTGGGATCTCTATGGAAATCAGATGGGATCCCTGTGCGCAGGGCACCCTCAACTGGGAAGACAGAATCAGGTCATGGCTGTGTAGGGAGCTGTCTGGGAGTGGGATGGGAGGCTAGGGCAGGGGCCAGGATCTGGGGCAGTGTCAGTGCAAGGCCAGGGCCCAGGGCAGGGAGGAATCTGTGCAGTAACAGCAGAGAGTAAACAGAGAATTAAATGGAACAACTTCACCTTGTAGGCTTTGGGCCACACTTGGTGTCAGAAAACACAGGCAGAGGAGGATCCCTTGAGTCCACACCATTTCCACTGCTAATGAGGGGCGGGAAGGGAATCCAACAGGAGCAGTAACGGACCTGGGTGGAAGCAAACACAAATCCCCTTGTTGTTGCTTCCCTTGGCTCCACTTTGTCAGCCCCAGGAACCAGGATTTCCTCTGCAAAAACTTCTCATTGCTTCATTTGCGTCTGGGTCATGACTTGTATCTCACGACTTCAGGAACGCCAGCAAGTTGCTGGCACACACCAGCTCTTCTGCCCTTTCCCAGCCAAACACTCCCTGCTTCTTCCACCACTGCCCCGCTCCCTAGGCAGGTTTCTTACTCCCTAGTCATGCACCTGTTATAACGGCTGACTCTTATTGCTGAGTTGACCCCATCGAGTCACCTTTTCATAGTAGCCAGTTGGGACCCAAGGTTTCCTAGCTTGACTGATGCAGAGAATCATAAAGCCATAGAGGAGCTGGGCTAGAAGGGACCTCCAGGGCTCATCCAGTCCAACCCCTGCCTGAGACAGGATGAGCCGTGTCCAAACCAGCCCAGACAATCCAGAACTTGTGAATCTTCATAAAACTACCATCAGCCCTGCCAATGTGGACCCAGCTCCAGCACCAGGGCCAGCGGCAGTGGGTGAGTGACAGGAAGCCGCAGCGGTCGATGTGGCCTTTGCTTGCCCTTCGCTGATGTGCTCAGTGGGGGTAGATGACAGAACAAGGAGCAATGGGCTCAAGTAAGGGAAATTTAGGTTAGATACAAGGAAAAACCTCACGAGAAGGGTGGTTTTTTTTCATAGATATTTCATAGACATCAGGGCTGGAAGGGACCTCGGAAGATCATCGAGTCCAGCCCCCCACCCGAAGGGCAGGAAGTCAGCTGGGGTCATAGGATCCCAGCAAGATAAGCATCCAGTTTCATCTTGAAGGTGTTCAATGAAGGCGCTTGAACCACCTCCGGTGGCAGGCTGTTCCAGACCTTGGGGGCTCGGACAGTAAAGAAGTTCTTCCTTATGTCCAGCCTGAGCTGGACTAGATGTGCCCTCCTGAGGTCCCTTCCCACCCTCATTTTTTTAAATTATATGATTCTATGACACAGTTCAGACAAGCCCCCACTGATTTCAACTACTTCTGCCCTCTTCAGAGCAAGAACGTTACACAGTTGTGAGGCAGGGGCATGTGCGTGCTGTATCCAGGCCTCCCGCTGCACCCCCAAAACCGCTCCTTGTTTGACCCTCCTTTGATTTGGATTCCTGGATCTGTGACTGCCCTGAGCCCAAATCCTGGCCCCAAAACACTGAGATGCCAAAGCACTCCAGGGCTCAGGGCTCACGTGGAAACCAGGCATTAGAGCAGCCTCCTTAGGAAGCTCTTTATTTCCTTCTTTCTTTTCTAGTAACAATCGACATAATCATGAAATCCATTGTTCCAAGGAGGACTCTGGGTTGTGCTCACTCAGGCACAGCCTGGTCCTCTTTTAACAAGCGCTTCTCCCTCCTGCCCCCAAAGCAAAGAAAACAAACGAGAGTCATGCACATTGCAGAAAAACATACAAATACCATGCAGAAAACCAAGGTGGATTTGTTGCCCTGTGGGGTCAGGCCAATGCTCAGGATCTCAATATCGCGCTGTTGGACAGGAGGGCATGGTACACAATTGTACATGCACACATATCACCAATTCAAGCACATACACACCCTAATGATAGTGACATGGAATCATGCACAATACACACATACATACATATATACACATGTTAAACATTGACGCAGGTGACTGTGTGTGTGTGTTGGTGTCTGTGATACCTATGCCTAGGGTGACTGGTAGCTAAAGAGCAAGCGGCAGAGATTAGGGGAAAAGGCAGTGGGGATGAGGCAATAGCAGTGGCAGAGATCAGGGACCAAGGAAGTGGGACTGAGGCAATAGCAGTGGCAGAGATCGGGGACCAAGGCAGTGGGGACGAGGCAATAGCAAAGAAACGGGTTTGCAAGCAGAGAGGAGCTCAGGACAGCTGGAGCCACAGGAGCATGGGGCAGGTGCTGGAGGTGGCCGCGGGCCAGAGGCAGGAGAGGGAGAATGAGACATAAATTAAAGGGGTGAGGAGCAGAGATTAGAGCAGGGCCAGAACCATAGTAAAGCAAAACCCAACTCAGTGGTCCAAATAACAGTTTTATTAAGTGAACACTGTACTGTACAGCTTGGTTCCCACACACACTCACACAAGCACTCTCATGCATACTCACACAACGGCAGCAGGAGAAAGAGACTCAGTGGAAGGGTTGTGGTCCAGGTAAAGAAGAGAAACAGAGTCCAAGTTCTTGGTTGAAGAGAGGATGGGGGTGATAGCTACCTATCCAGGCTGGGAAGGGGCCAGTCGGGGTCTTTCTCCAGCAGGTGTTGTCCAGAGGGGGGTTGCCAGCAGGGCCTCTGGGTTGATAGGCAGTGTGACGTGGAGCAGGTCTGGTCCAGGTGAAGATCAGCTTTCACCACCCCTTCTTATGGGGCAGACTACCTATGATCTCCTATGGGGCGGGCATGTCCAGGCTAGGTCAGCCCTGTTCCAGAGGGCTCCAGATGTTCATACTAAGCATGTGCAGCCTTGGCACAACGGTGGGCTGCCTCATCTTTCATTTCTTGAATGCTGAAGGTGGTTCCAATGGCTGGGTCGTTGGTCCAGGTATTGGTTTTGATGGTGGGGTGATTTAGTAGGGGGTCCTGCTATCATTGTGTTTCACCCATCCATTCACTCTTTTGTTTCAGGCATTCAAGGAAAACCAATTTACATGGGAGGGGTAGGTATGAGTAATAATTGCGACATATTGTATAGGGCAGGGGCCACAAGGTGGAAGATTGACATACAAAATAGAAACTTGACATTGCATACAATAGACTACAATACAAACTGTAAGCATCAAAGCAAACAGAACAGCACACTATTTACAATATAAAAAGGAGCTTATTACAATAATACCATACACGAACTTAGCTTAGCTTACCTAGTACTACTTGTAATCACTTATAAGGCATAGAGAGGGCAGAAAGTCAGAAATGGTTGGGGAAGGGGAGGGAGTGTATTTTTAAATAAAAACAAGAATAACTGGGGGTTTTGCTACAGATTTAGCAAAACTGGCCCGAGCTCTGCTTGTGAAATAATCATACTTGTATGATTATTTCACGACTTTATAACGATTTATTTCACGATTATAACGACTTTAATGCATATGTAGCCAATGCACTCAGTAGCACACACAGCACTCATTAATGCAGGTGCTAAAGCTGAGGTTTCTTTGCCACACTTGCTTCAGTGACCCCATTTTGGTACAGCTTTTTGGTGTTCAAGCATGCTCTCTCTTCCCTAACCCCTTGCCCTGGCCTGCGAGCGGAGGCAACCTGTTTGGGGAATACATACATTTTCCAGTGGTCAGGAGCAGGTTGGCTTCACTTTCTGGTCTCCGCTGTCTGAATAACTCCTTGAAGATACTGCGATGTTGCTTTCTTTTCTGAGCAAGAACAAACAAGCTTCCAACGTTGTCAGCATCTATAAGCCCACCCCTTCCTCCTTTGTCTTCTTGTTCTTTCCATTTTGATTCATTTTCCTTTTTCTCTGCTACAGTTTATTTTTCTCACAAAGTTTTTTTCTGCCTTTTCCTGCAAGCACCAAAGTTCATCGTCTAAGAAACTCCAAGCAATTTATTAACCCTGAGTGGAGACTGTCTCCTGGATAAGGAGTCAGGGCAGGGTGTCCTGTCCTGGGCTGTGACTGCTTTGGTCCAGATGACTGTCCTGTGCAGCCCTGAAGCTGGGTGTGCCAGTGCCAGGACCATTGCACCAGGGTGCAGAGTGGGGGCATGGGGCAGAGACACCCGACTTGGCTAGAGCTCAGCACAGTTCCTTATCGAGTCTCTAGGGATGGTGATGACTGGAGAGGGTGAGTGCATGCCCACTTTCAGGGGAAGAGACGAGAGGAAGGCTGGAATGGGAGGGCAGATTTCCCAGCTGGAGAGGGACCAGATCCTGGGCCTGCTGGGAGGGAAACCCCTCCGGGGGTTGAGGGTCCATGCTCCGCTCCCAGACGCTGTACGAGGGCATGTCCTGCCCATTCCCCTCTCCCCACCCCAGCAGGTTTCTCCCTCAAGCTGTGGGGATGCCAACTCTGACCTTGCAGCTCGCTGCAGTCCTTCCCTTCATTGCAGAGCAGCCCCTGGCAGTGCACGTGGGGCCAAGAGGCACCCGCAGGACAGCTCCTCACCTGATGCTTCTACTTGGCCCCTCCGGCTGTATCTACCCAGCGGGTCTGTCCTGCTCCCAGGTCAGGCTGGGAACTGGACCTGGCTCTTTTCCTGCTGCTGGATGTTCACTGTGTGCAGCACCACACGCCTGTAATGACCCAGCTTTCTACTCCATCTGGGACATTGCCTTGCTAAGAAGGTGTTGAGCTGGGAAACAATGTGATACTGGTGGAGGAAGGGGCTGTTGTGGGTGATAGATGTTCTTGGACCAGGAGACAAGCTTTGGCATAGGAGGAATCTGCTTCAGACAGGTCTACCCCTTCCCCATGGTGAGGTGCAGTTTGGGGGCCTCAGGCTGCAACTATGGACCCAGGGCCCTGGCCTGCCTGGCACCTGGCTGCTGCTCCCGCAGGATGTCTGAGTCTGCCTAAAGGCTGCACCACTGACCCAGTCTCCACGGACTCCCTGAGAGCTGAGTGGTTAGGTCCTTTTGCCTAACCTTCCACTTCCCCCATATAAGATGAGGGAGAGGACCACTAAGTGTTCAAGTTTCTCCTGAAGAGCCCCATAGCTCTTAGCCTCTCATTATAAGCTCTGTTTTCCTGCCCTCTGATCATGTGCATGGCTCTCCTCTGCAGCCTCTCAAGCTTCTCCACGTGCTTTTTGAATTGTGGGGCCCAAAACTGGACGCAGTACTCCAGCTGCGGCCTCACCAAGGCCAAGTACAATGGGAGAATGATGTCCTGGGATTTGCTTGAGAAGCATCTCTGGATGCAAGCCAACGTTTTGCTCGCTTTACTAGCCGCGGCATTGCACTGAAAGCTCATGTTCATCTTGTGGTCAGCCATGACCCCCAAGTCCCTTTCATCCATAGTGCTAACCAGCGTAGCACTGCCGAGCCTATAAGCATGCTGCTGGTTTTCCTCCCAAGGTGGAGAACCTTGCATTTATCGGTGTTGAACACAACCAGGTTCTCATCTGCCCATTTCCTGAGCCTGTCAAGGTCTGCCTGGATCACCCTCCTGTGCTCAGGTCTGGATGCTTTACCCCAGAGTTTGGTGTTGTTGGCAAACTTGGCCAGTCCGCTTGTGACACCGATGTCCACATCATCGATGAAGATGTTAAATAGTACAGCCCCCCCAGGACAGAGCCTTGAGGGACCCCACTGGTGACCGCGCACCGACACGATTGGCTCCCATCGACCACCACCGATGAGTCCAACCGATTGGTCCAACCGCAGAGCCAATTCCCCAGCCAGAGGATCATGGTGAGGTCAAGGCTGCAGTTAGCCAGTTTAGCCAAAAGGTGATCATGGGATACCAGATCGAAGGCTTTTTTAAAGTCAAGATATACAACATCGATCTCTTCCCCCTTGTCCAGGTGATAGGTCACCTGGTCCTAAAAGGAAATGAGATTGGTCAAGCAAGACCTACCCGCAACAAACCCGTGCGGGGTATCCCTCAGGATGTTGCCTTCAGCTAGCGTTAAGGATGGCCTCTCTGATAATCTTTTCCAAGACCTTCTCCGGGATAGAGGTCGGGCTGATGGGCCTATAGTTTGCCAGATCCACTTTCCTCCCTTTCTTGAAGATAGGCACCACATTGGCCTTCTTCCAGTCTTTGGGCACTTCACCAGAGTGCCAGGAGCTCTTGAAGATCCATGCCAGGGGCTCAGCTTCTTTACTTCTTGACCTCTTTGTTTCCTGACACAGCTGGCTCATGATCTTTGCTCTTCCCTTGACCCCTGGCTCCTTATTCACCTCATCCCTGGACTTTCCTGGCCCTTTCTAACTCTGGCTTTTACCCTTCCCAGTGGCCATGGCCCCTGATTGGCCCAGAGGCCTGGCCCCCATGTCCTCACATGGATTAATTTAGAGGAGGCAAGAAAAGTCCCTTTAGGCAGGTTCTTCCAAAACGGCCTAGTGGGAGCATTGGAGAAAGAGGTCAATCATGGACAGGAGACTGGCCTAGAAGGAACCCTAAATGGAGTGAGCAGACTGATGTTGAAAACCCTGGCTGGGCTGACTGCTATTCATTGACATCCTCTGCTTCCACTGCAGATGAGAAGAAAAAACAGCTGTACATACAACCCTGGCAGGAACGGGTTTTGTTTTTTTGGTACGAAAGCTGCTATGAATGACACCACAATCATAAGCTTGCTTGCTTTAGATGGGACCTACCCTCCACGGCAAAACAAGGCCATACGGAAACGAGAGAAATCGTTTGTTGTAATCCCAGGTGCAATTTGATAGTACTTTAAATGACTTGGAAACAGTGAAAGCCTCCTGAGCCTTCTCGTTCATACCGCGATGTAACCAACAGCCTGTGGTTAAGTGAATCTGTAACCACGATTTTGCAGTTACAGTTCTCTCGGTCACATTTGTGTCACATGTTGTCAAACGATGTGATGTCTAATGATCAGCTCTGATGGCCATATGTGGATTGAAGGCCATGTTCAGCTTTGGGCCATGGGTAAAATAGCCCATGTCATGTCATGACATGACCTGAACTTGACCTATATAGCACTGATGTCAGCTGAGCAGGAGCCGTAGGCAGTGATAAGATGTGCTGACATCATACAAGCAAATGGAAAAGGATTGGTGTAGTTCCAGATATGAAAAACCTGGTCTGAAGTCTGTAATCGTGGTTAAACGGTGTGATATTGGACTTCTCCAAAGATCAGCAAAAAAGGTGGATCCAATTCAGCAAGAGTCCCCAAGGGAACAGAGAAGTCTGGACACTGGTCCTGTTTTCCCTTCAATCCAATGCTATGTAAGTGCTGTCTTTATTAAGAGAAACAAGTCTTTACTGTTATGTGCCCCAATAAAGCTTGTGAGCTGGGACTGGAATAGTCTCCATGGTCACCAATCTCACTCTGAACCCCAGTTCAATCTGGAGCAACAGCTCTGCACATGAAATGGCACATCCTGGCCTAGGAGACCTGCCCCCACATTCCCGCTGTCCGCACTGGAGCTGCAGGGGTCTACCCTATAGTGAGGTGAAGCCACGGACTCAGACAGTCATGGAGAAGTGGGGCTGGAAGGGATCCCCAGAGGTCACATCTAGTCCAACCTCCACCCTGAAGCATGATCATCCCTATCCAAGCCATCCTGTATACTCCATAATCTAACCTCATAGCCAAACCGCACAGTCAATCCTGAAGCAACACAAGACATCACACCTGAACCAGCCATGGGCAAAGCAGGGGAACCGTGGCAGCCAGCACCCTGCTTCAACAACAGGTTGTTAACAGATGCTCAAGAGATCCTAGGCAGGGCCATGTCTCTTCTGCAGAGGGGGCAAAACCCCTCTAGTCTGTGCCAATCTGACCAGGGTGGAAAATTCCTTCCTAACCCCAAATGTGGCATTGCTCTGACCCTGCGTGGAGAGGCAAAACCCTCCAGCCAGGATCCTGGCCTGAAAGCTCGCATGGGAGGCAGAATCCCACCCCACCACCACAAGGACTCATGGGCTCTCTCCTTCCTCCCCTTGCCATGCCCCCCATCCCTGCCCGCTGGGTTGCCACTACACCAAGAAGCACTGGTCAGGCTGGCTGTGCAAATCCTGTGAATCCCACAGGCTCTGAGAAGTTTTCACCCCTTAGATTCACATCCCTTTGATTCCTGTCTCTCACTTTCCATTCGTCTTCTCCAGCCTCCTCCACGGATGCACTCATCCATGCAGTCCACCCCTGCCAGTCCCCCAGCCACCCTGCTGCTGCACCGGGCACAGAGGTGTGGGCTGCACAAACCCATCGTGCCACCAATGAAACAGTTTTGCCGTGTCAACCCTGTTTCGACGGAACAGAACGGAAAAGCTGTTTTGAATCAAAACAAAATTCGAAGAAAAATGCTGTTCTGTCGAAACCTCGAAAAGCTAGTCGAAACAGAGCGCTGCCGTTTCGGACAGCCCCGGTATACAGCTCCCATCAGTCCATATTCCAGGAGTAAGGGCTCAATATTTCTGCACCTGAGACCTCCAAGATATAAACAGAGTCCCCAGAAGAAGAAAGAGCATGTCTGGAAAGTTGGTTGCTCAGCACAGTGCAAAAAGGCAGGAGTGGAGACAAGGACTGAACCCAGGTCTTCCAGGCTGCGTTCAACTGCCTTTAAAATCCCGCCCTGCAGTACTCACCCTTACTCATTGCTCACTTCCCAGTTTCTGCAATGCATGAAGCAGGCATCCTAGAGACAGGGCGCTCCCTGACCTCACAGCCCCAGCACCCCCCTGCAGCGCTGTCATGTTATGGTGAATGAGCACAGGGTCTTGTGGAAATGGCATGTGAGCATGTAAGTACCAGGTGTTTCCTGAAGCCTGGGTGCAAGCAGGCTGCATTAAAGCTTGAGTTACTTTTGAGCTTGGTTTTGCACTTTATCCTTCCTTTTAGCACAGGGCTCCTCCTTTT